GGGACCCCCAGGGTCCCCCCAAAATCCCTCTGGGACCCCCCGGGACCCCCCTGGGTCATCTTGGGACCCCCCCCAAGGACCCCCAAGATCCCCCCGGGACCCTCTGGATCCCCCCAACACCACCCGAGACCCTTTCTGGGTGCTCTTGGGACCCCCTTGGATCTCCCCAGGACCCCCCCAGGGACCCGCAGGATCCTCCTGGATCCCCCCAAAACCACCCTGGGGACCCCAAAATCCCCTGGGACCCCCCTGGGGACCCCCAGGATCTCCCCAAAATCCTTCTGGGACCCCCAGGATCCCCCCAAAATCCCCCCGGGGACCCTCTGGGGACCCCCAGAATCCCTCTGGAACGCCCCAGAACCCCCCGGGACCCCCCAAAATCCCCCTGGGACCCCCCAAAATCCCCCGGGACTCCCCAAAATCCCCCAGGACCCCCCACGGGACCCCCAAATTCAAAACCCCAAATCCCCAAAACCCCCAAAAATCAAAACCCCAAAACCCCGGGACCCCAAAAATCAAATCCCGCAAAATCCCCCAGGACCCCCCCCTGTTTTTTTTAAGGCCGGGGGGTGCAGAGACCCCCCCCCTCCCCTCCCCCCCATTTTTAAGGCGAAGGGGTCGGAGCCCCTCCCCCCCAATAAAGAATTTGGGAAAGAAAAACCGAATTTGGGGATTTTGGGGGAGGTTTTGGGGAATTTGGGGGGGTTTGGGACGATTTTGGGGATTTTGGGGGGGTTTGGGGAGGTTTTTTGGGAAGATTTTTGGGAGGATTTTGGGGGTTTTCAAAGTTTATTTTGGGAAGATTTTTGGGGATTTTTCAACTTTTTGGGGGAAGATTTTGAAAGGGTCTTTTTTGGGAAGATTTTTGAGAATTTTTAAACGGTTTTTTGGGAAGATGTTGGGAATTTTTTTAATTCTTTGAAGGTTTTTTTGAGGAACAGTTTGAGGTTTTTTTGCGAAGATTTTGGGAATTTTAAAAGGGTTTTTTTGGGAAGATTTTGGGGGTTTTTAAAGGGTTTTTTTGACAAGATTTTTGGGGTTTTTTTAAGTTCTATTTTTTGGAAGATTTTGGGAATTTTTAAAGTTCTTTGAGATTTTTTTGGGGGAACATTTTGAGGTTTTTTTGGGAAGATTTAGGGAATTTTTAAAGGGTTTTCGGGAAGATTTTGGGGATTTTTTTTTTTGGGAAGACTTTGAGAGTTTTTTAACTTTTATTTTTGGAAAGATTTTGGGACTTTTTGAAGTTTTTTGAGATTTTTTTGGGGGGAACATTCTGAGGGTTTTTTAGGAAGATTTTGGGAATTTTTTTTTTTAGAAGATTTTGGGGAGTTTTTTTGGGAAGATTTTGAGAGTTTTTTTAACTTTTATTTTTGGGAAGATTTTGGGACTTTTTGAAGTTTTTTGAGATTTTTTTTTGGGGGGAACATTCTGAGGGTTTTTTTGGGAGCATTTTGGGGGAATTTGGGGTTGGAATTTCCAGAACTTCCGGTCACGACCTCGAGGTCGCAGCTCAGCGCCTCCTCGTGACGTCACTTCCGGTGTGTTATGGCTGTTTCCGGTATGCTTCCGCCTCGGTGCTGCGTCACTTCCGGCGCGCGGGGCCGATGGCGGCGGGGCTGCGGCGCGCGCGTGAGTGGGGGAGGGGCGGCCCGGGGGGACCAGTTTAAACCAGTTCAGACCAGTTTGGGCCCGGCTTCTCCCCAGTTTAGACCAGTTTGGACCGGTTTAGACCAGTTCAGACCAGTTTGGGCCCAGTGGGTCCCAGTTTGACCTTGGTTTGTCCCAGTTTGCTCCCAGTAGGTCCCAGTTAAGCCCCAGTTTCTCCCCAGTTTCCCCCAGTTTAGACCAGTTTGGGCCAGTTTCCCCCAGTTTGTCCTTGGTTTGGCCCAGTTTGGCCCAGTTTAATCCCAGTGGGTCCCAGTTAGGCCCAGTTTCTCCCCAGTTTGGTCCCAGTTTAGACCAGTTTGGCCCCAGTTTGTCCTTGGTTTCTCCCCAGTTTGTCCCAGTTTGTTTTTGGTTTGTCCCAGTTTATCCCAGTTTGTCCTCAGTTCATCCTTGGTTTGCCCCAGTTTATCCCAGCTGTGTCCCCAGTTTGGACCAGTTTATCCCAGTTTCTCCCCAGTTTCTCCCAGTTTCTCCCAGTTTATCCCAGT